TGTGAGTAGTATTTTACATGTCACTTTTGAGCCACAGTTTCTAAGAGACAGTTGTGCCCTCTTTATACTTCTCCCCCTTCCAATGTTTTAATGCAGAAGAGGACAAGGCCCTAGGAAATGACACAGCCACAAAACAGAAGGAGTCTGGGTTCCTTTCTTGCCTCACACTGAATTATGGGAAAGAGATAAATTTCTATGGTCTTTCAGCAAGTGTGTACTTTTTTGAGGGCTGTTTATTATTAGCAGCCAGTATTATTCAAATTAATATATTCTCTTATAACTATAACCATAATAAAAAGAGTGGATTTTTGTAGTCAACCATGTTGTCTAGTTGGATTCAAATTTTCAGGATGGGGAGGGGAGGGTAGAAGCTAGAAAAATGGAATCTTTTTGCATCCTGTTTTTCTTTTTTTTTTTTCTTCTCGAGCCATACTTCTCCCATATCCTCCTTGTCTCCCTTGGTGTTTCACCCTGGGCAGTGTTTCCCCCAACCCATTCCCCATTATTTTCTTTGTTATTAGAACTCCCAAGCAGCAGCCTTCTCAGCTCAGCCATGAATGGCATCTGCTAAATGTGCCGGCCCCTTTTCATATCTGGGTCATGCTTTGTGTGTCTTTATGCATTAGTATGACAAAAAGTTCTTCCTGACCCTTCAATTCCTTTCCCAAATGATCAGTTGGCAGTTTGTACAGTAAGAGGTTGGTCTTCCAACAGCCCTTAAATAATGTGACTTACTAATCAAAGGAATTTCCTAATACACAAGGCACTTAACTGTTTCTCTTGAAATATAATTTATTGTTACTTTTGGAAAATATATATTTTTTTAAATTTCAGGTTAACTACACACTACTTCGTAAGACAGAATACCTTACTTTTGATCAGCACTTTTCTGGAATAAAAGGCCTACACCTTCACTGAATGGTAAAAACATGTAGTGGTTCCCATACTGTTTTATCACCATTCTAACAACCTAAATTATGGATTTGACAAAGATACTTCCTAGGACACACACAAACACCATTTAGCAAATCTGTACCTGCCCCTAGACAGGCCTATCCAGAGGAGGCTCTAGTGAAGACGGGTGCTGAGGGTGCTGCTCTGACTCAGTGTGGCACAGAGTAGCGGGTCAGTTTCAGTGTGGCCCTGCTCCAGGTTCGGATGGAGGCCTCCCTAAAGGGAGGTGTGGGTGCTACCCAGTTCACTCCCTTCTCCAGGGCACTGCCAGTCTGCAACCTTGGCTTGAAAGGTATCATAACACAACTAAAAACAAATATAGGCACATTTTTACCTGGAGCTGCCAACTGTCCTGGATTGACCGTTCTCATCCAGTAAGCAAACCTGAATCTCAGAAAAATAAACATTTCAGAAACATTTGAAAATTCTTTCTCTCCTCTCTCTCTCTCATTCTCAAACCCTGAAACCAAAAGAAGGCGATACTTCTGAAGTTGCTGTATGTAGATTCAAGTGCCTACATTGATAATATTTGCTATCGGGACTTTATTTTACATTTTAAAATAATATTTCAACTCTGACAAAAATTATCCTTTTGGCATGTTTTTAAGAAATGAATGCTTAACATGTGAGCTTTTAGAAAAAAGGGAAATTAGTAACTCAATACATCCAAGCATCCAGCAACTCTAAATCCCTGAAAAAGATCAACACAAGGCAGACCTCTTGCAGATTTCTTAAGTTTTCTGTTCTCCTAGGCATGCCAATCAGAGGGCTGGAACACAATTTGGGAGCCAGGATTGGCTTAAACCAAATTGTGGTTTTTTCATTTTTCTCTAGCAATGGCATTCAAGCTGGTAATAATAGCCGCAGCCTAAAGTATGCCCCCAAAAGTGGGCAGAGTAGGGTCTGGCGCACGGATATTTTTCTGATCTGCTCTGCAGAGGGTGTCATGTTCTGGCCTGTTGCTACAGTAGTAGTGACCACCCACTGGGCATGCATTCCCCTCTGGTTTGGCAGGGAGAGTTGTCAAGGGAAAACACAGACTTAAGTGCCAAAGATCCTCACTCATATCACATCTTTGCCCTGAACTTACTGCAGCAGGAAAGTTAGCCACCTACCATCCATTTTCCAGCACAGTGGACGAGAAAGATTACGGAATCTTGGTGCTGGCTGGAAATGGACAGCTGCCATATTATAGCCCCTCTCAGAGTGACCTTGACAGAATTAGTGAGAGTAATTCTTTCAGTGGACAGAGATGCAAACGGTATAATTGGTGGCTCACTTTATAAAGAGGGAAAAGTGGCCTGAGATAGAGATTGATATGAATTCTGGGACAAGGGTGAATGGCTTGGCTGCTTGGTAAGGGCTCACAAGGAACCAGATTGGAAGGTCTGTGATAAGGTAACCTGGGGAAGCGGCATGATGATGAACTTGTGGTTGTGGGCACAAAGTTTGTATATCTTATATTAATGCCCACCAGAGAACTCCCACTGCAAAGGAAGCACTCAACAATGAGGTAGACAAGATGTCAAATCTTGTGGATGTGGACAGCTAATGATGAGCCTTGAGGAAACCAGACCACCCACTTGGTGGCAGAGTAATTTCAATACTTGCCCTGACCACTGATCTATTAGTACCCACCATCCAAAGGCTCACAGAATTCCTGACCTATTGAAGTGGCATCCTGCACAACATTGTGGCAGTGGGCAAGTGAACACAAGAGCCACTGGTCTCACCAGATATCGGATCACCCAGGAGTAGCTAGTCGAAAGGGACAGTGGAAAGACTATTGAAGGCTCAGCTAGGGTGCGAGCCTTGGGGCAATGGCCTTTAGTGTTAGGGTGCTGTCCTCCAGTGTGCAGTATATGCACGGAGGCAGTGGCTATGCTGCTATGTCCCCAATACAGGAACCAAGGGGTAGAAGTTGGTGTGGATCCTCTCACAATCACTGCTTCTCAAGCTTGCAGCTCTAGGCTCTGTCATATTAAAGGTCCTGGTTCCTATGAGGAAAACACCAGGCAGTCGTTGAACTGGAAGCTGTGACTATTGCCAGGTCATTTTAGGCTTTTCATGTCAGTGAGAGAACTACATTAGTGGACAAAATTGACCATAATGACCACAAGGAGTAGGGTTGCTCCACATAATGAAAGTATGGAGGAGTGGACTGGAGCCTAGAGGACTCACTTGGGCATCTCCTGGTGTCTCTTGGTGCTTCCATGCCAGGGATAATGGTAAATGGGTCCCTTCAACAGCCATGGCTTGATAAGGCCAAGGCAGCTAAGGACTCAGGGCTGAGGTCTGGGTCAGCCCATTAGGCAGGCAGCCTCGGCTGCCTAGAGTACTGGCCAAGGGTGAGTGAAATCTAGAATGGCTGGTGCAGGAGGGAAATGAAACCTTTATCTTGGGAACTGCTTTCCAAGGAACTCGAGAAAGATCCCCAGCACCTGGCACAGGATCTGGAACCTAGTAGGGAGGCCCTATGTGGTTGACTATCGGAGTTGTAAGGGTCCTCGAGCTGTCTGAGAAGGGCTTCGGACTCTCGGGGGAAAGTCTGTATGTTAACACGTGGCACTCCCAGCCCCTGTTTCAGCAAAGTTCACTAACTGTCCCTCACACAGAACCAGGTCTCATGGTAAAGGCACACACACAGCTTTGGATGTGCACCAAACCACCTCGCTGCTTGCCTCCCCAAGCCACTGTGTCACCAGCAGGAACTCATTATTCCCTCAGAGTGAGAGCGACAGAGAGAAATATAATCGCTTAAGGCTTAACCATTTTCTTTCCCCAAAATAAAAAAGCCAAATCACACATGGCCACAATTTGGATGCTGTGTGACTTTCACACTTTACTGGCCCACACATAAGTCAGTTGAATGTTTTTGCAAGTGACTGACTGAATTTAGTTTTTAAATTATCCAATGTACCTTACCCCGGTAAATTACCAAAATAAACAGCAAGGGTAATATAATTATAGTGCTGACAGTGGTCTAAGGCTCAGGTAGGGGGAAAAAAGGCTTTTCTTCCACCCTTTCTTTTTTAAAAATATTTTTAAAAATTGATTTTTAGAGAGAGGAGGGGAGAGAAAGACATCAATGTGAGAGAGGAACATCAGTCAGTTGCCTCCCAAACATGCCCTGACCAGGGATGGAACCCGCCATGTTTTTTAATTCTCACTCGATATTTTTCCACTGAATGTTAGAGAGAGTGGAAAGGAGGGGGAGAGACAGAGAAAGAGAAACATTGATGTGAGAGAGACACATCAGAGAGACACATTGCTTCGTTGCCTCCTGCACGTGCCCCAACCAGGGCTGGGGATTGGGCCTGCAACCGAGGTACCCTTGATTAGAATCGAACCCAGGACCCTTCATTCTGAGGGATGAAGCTCTATCTATTGAGCAGAACTGGCTAGGGCAAACCTGTCACCTTTTAATGTACAAGACCATGCTCCAACTAACTGAGCCCTACTAACCAGGGCTTGTCTGTCCCTTCTTTTCTCCCTTCTGGTATCAGCTGGTGGGAGATGAATTCTCTCATATAGGAGCTGTCTTCTTCAAATGTAATCATAGGCATGGATGGGCCCAGAACAGAAATGGGTTTTTGTTTTGTGTGTGTCGTTTTTTTGTGTTTTCTTTTTGCCTTGTGCCTAATCGCTTGAAGTAGAGACTTTTCATATAGGGTCAGAAATCTATCAGTCTCTCTCTCTGGTTCCATCTTTTTTTTGCTTTTCTTAGCTTTGACATTTTGACAGTCTGGCTCAGTGACTTTCAACTCTTAAGTCTCCAGCCCATTCTTGTGTGCTAGAACTTTTGTGACATACTTGAAGAGATCGAAATACTCAAAACAACAGTTAAAAAAGCAAGCAATAAATTATCATGTGATCACTGCTAGAGTTTAACACTTTTTTGTGGTGTCTAGGAAAGCATGCATGGTAATTGCCTCATTCACCCAACAGCTTTTCATGCCAATGTTTTGTTTGAGAAAACCTTATCACTGCCCTGGCCTTTCACTTACATCTTCTCACCTGTTTTTTTTTTCGTTTTTTTTTTTCAGAACTGCTTTTCTTTGGATAACTGACTGAAGGAGTCTCCTGTGTAACAAAGATGGAAGTCACAGTATGTTGTTACATACACTTAAAAATATCTCTCTATGTACAGGAACTTGCAGATCGATGTAAACATACATTACTTCCCAAGTACATTCCTCCCCTTCTTCCCAGAGGAAAAAGAAAAAAGCCATCCAACCAGGCAACCCCTTTAAAATAACTTTAATACAAAGATGTAAATATCTCTAAATCAAAAAGGTTCTTCTGACCGACTGGGTGTCATGGAAGAAAACACGGAATGGAAGTGATGACGACAGCTTGACTTCAGATGGAACTGGACTGTTTAAAACTGTGTATCCAGGAAAAATAGGCACTGATTTCTAGAAGGAAATTCACTCCTTACGGAAGCTATTTATTGAGCCAATATGGCTGGTTAACATTTTCACTAGTATAGTCACCCAGTGCAGGACGCGGCCCTCAGCCGACACCAGCACAGCCGGGCGGCCCGGGCACTGCCGAGGCTGTCCCCACTCCGGGCCTGGAGGACCATCTGATCCATCTCCCGGGCCTGGTCCATGTCTTCCCATACTGCAACTGTCCAGCATGATACAAGGTACCCTGCTGCTTCCTCACTTCAACTACCCTTCAAGGTAACTAGAAAAACTTGTTAAAAAAACAAAGGGGGGAAAAAGGCATCAGGTTATCTCATCCAGGCTGCGCGCCCCAGGCCCCCGACTGGAGGCATGCCTGGTGGGGGGATGGGTGGGGACACAGGTGGCTGTCCTCCAGGGGGGACAGATGGAGGTGGGTAGCTAGCTGGAGGCAGGCCCAGGCCTAGAGGAGGGTGAGGTGGAACGGCATGGGTGGGGGGCACGCGTGGGGGTGGGGGCGGGAAGTTGGGGTTGTAGGGGGATGGAGGTGGAGGGTACCAGGGAGTTGGGGGTGGGATGGCAGGTGGCAGGAAGCAGGCTGGGAGAGGGGGCACCAGTGGTTGGGGTGGGTTGGGGGGGTAGACATGGGAGTAGGGCAGGTGGGCTGGAGGCCTGTAGGCAGGGTGCAGGGCACTGTAGGAGGGGCCCTCGGTCTTCACCATGGAATGCAGGCTCTGGTAGCCCTCTCCAGACATGTAGGAGCTGGTGGTGGACATCCTGGTTATGTAGCTGGAGGGTGGTGGTGGCCGGTATGGCAGCGGTGGTGGCTGGTGCACAGGGGCCGGGTGGGCCAGAGGAGGAATCTGGACTTTGGGGAGATCACTGGCATCCACAGGGCCTGGTGGCTCAGCCTCACCTAAGGCAGTCGCGAGGGGAGGCTTCCGGTCTGGTGGTGGGTGGGCCAGAGGCAATGGAGGGTGAGTGGTCTCTATTTTGGGAATTTTAGGTGGTGGTGGTTTTGCTGCTTTGTTCTCTTCTTTGGGAGAAACAACCGTGGCTCGCTTCACCTGGCGGGGGCGAGTAGGCTGTGGGGACGGTTTCTTGGGCTGCTGGACTTGCTGTGGCGGTGGCGGCAGCTGGGTTGATGTCTGTGGGTCCTTCTGTGGGGGCTGCGGTGGTTCAGGGCCTGGAGCCGACTGTGATGGTGGCACTGGTGGCACTTGTGGTGTGGGGTTGAGCGATGGGGGCTGATGCAGCTGATGAGGCGTGTGATGAGGCATCTGTTGTTTTCCTTGTGAGTACAGATCCAGGATTTGGTGGCAGATATCTTCCAGAACATCCACAGGGACATCTTGCACAAACTGCCCCCACCATCTCCGATACATGGGTTTGGAGGTCCATTCTTGTATTTCAAATTTGCACAAATGTCCTGTGAGATACATCACTGCCACTGCTATGATCTCTGGTTCCCACTGCAGTGACAAGGTAGTGCAGAGACTGTCATTTACAAATGTCCATGCCATTTGAACCAACTTTTGAATTTTGTTTTTATCACCTTTGAGTTGTTTTGCATATTTGAGTAGGAACTGGTATGGATATTCTACCTGTAAATCAAACTTTATAGTCTGCAGTAGGATTCTCTCCAGAACCATTACTTCTTCCTTTGGGTCATCTCCAAACTGGCCAAATTGTACATCATTTAATAAACTACGAGCTGTTTTGATGATATCTTTACATTTTTTGGGTGTTTCTTCTAATTTCCCAGCCAGAAAGAGACAACAAGCTCCTGTTACATATCTTGGAAATTGCTTAAAGGAATGAAACATGTAGAAGCGATGAAAATAAATTATTCCAGTTGCCAGGGTATCATAGTGTAGTCCCAAACGTGTGCCCACATCAAAGATGAACCGAGCCCCCTCTCGGCGGTACCTGGCCTCAGTGGCTGGGTCAAGTCCTTCTAGCTGAGAGGGTGTATGAGCCAAGTCTTTCTTATCCCAGTACCAACATGGTTTTGTGTGGTCCAGGTTTGCTGGGGTTACTGAAGGGCTTGAATTTTCTTTATTCGCCTTCATTTATTGAAGTAGACTTGTTCTTTTCAAAAGATTCTCTGAAAATGTTACCTCCGGTAAGTCCCTCAGCAACATCTCTCCTTGCCGACCATGGCCATCTTGGACGTGGGATCCTTGTTGGGGTCCAATACCAGCAGGTCCAGGGGTCCCCAAAGGTGTGGACGGAGTTGGCGAAGAAGGAATGACATGGAGACAGCATTCAGTTGATCAGCAGCCTAGCCAGGATCTCCAGCCACGCTCTGTTTTTTATTGTCTTGTTACATCTGTATTTATACCAGTTGATTTTAATCCTATCAATTTCTATTCCAAAGGTTAGGTCGTTTCTTATCTCCATTCCAGGGAGTAAAGATTATGTAGCTTAAGGGTGATGGTTCGTAGTTAAAGTGATTACCCGCCTGGCATTTAGTTAAGGGCTTTTATTCCCTCCCTAACTTCAGGGAAAAATCCCTACCTGGGGAAACAACCTTTCTCGGAGAGGTGACCTTGGTTAAAACACATAGCGCCAAGAAGGTGAGCAAACATATTAAGAACAGTATGCCATATACGCTAGGTCCCTTGAAACATATGCTATTCAGATGTTTCTTCCCTGCAGCGACTGTGTCAAGCAGCAAGGATGGACTGGCTTCCGCCAAATTCTCCCCTTTTTATTTTTTTAAATGATAGCACATGTAAATCAGCAGCCACCTCTCCGATTGGGTTGTTTAAGACTCGGAAGTAGACTGACAAGCAATGATAGCAAGCATAGCTATAAACATAGTGGATGGAGTGCACAAGGAGCCTTGTTCCTGTAGAAGGTTGCTGGCCTCTTCAGTCAAGGGATTTCAGCTGTCCTCAAGCCGGGGGTTTGGTTGTCCTTGTTGATCTGGCTAGCAGGCGGCGTCATTGGCGACAGGCTTCCCGAAGCGTCAGCGAGTTGAAGGGCTGCATCAAAGGGTCCATCAGGGCCGTGCTTGATGGTGGTGTTGGGCTTTTGGGAAACAGACCATAGAAGTGCAGTCCTATTTTCATTACATCATATCAAGAGGGTACATGTTATGAATACTAATATTAGCCTTGATCACCTGGCTGAGGCAGCATTTGTCAGGTTTCTCCACTATAAACTTACTTTTTTCTTCTCCCTTTCCACTCTGTTGTCTTTGAGAGGAAGTCACTGTATGTAATCCATTCCTAAGGAGTTTTGCTCCCCCTCCTTGGAGGTGGAGGAGCCACATAAATTATTTGGACTTCTTCATGGGGGATTTGTCTCTTCTCCCCACTTATTAATTCAGTCACTTATTTGTATCATATTTATATGGATTCCTGGATACTGCACGCTGGGTATATTTGTTTCTAGTTGGGAGTTGTTTCTCTTCGGCCCTCTCAGAAGAGAGCACAGAAATTTATGTGCATATATTAACCCCTGTGTGTGTGCACTGTCTTTGAATAGTTCTATATGTAACCATCTATAACCATCTATAATAATAAAAGCATAATATGCTAATTAGACCGGACAGCTGAACGACCTCCCAGATGTCCTTCCGGACAAAGCCGCGGGGGCGGGGACCGAGGCAGAGGCGGTTAGGGGCAATCAGGCAGGCAGGCGAATGGTTAGGGGTGATGAGTCAGGCAGGCGAGTGGTTGGGGGCGATGAGGCAGGCAGGCAGAGTGGTTGGGGCAATCAGACAGGCAGGTGAGTGGTTAGGGGTGATGAGTCAGGCAGGCGAGTGGTTAGGGTCAATCAGGCAGGCAGAGTGTTAGGGGCAGTCAGGCAGGCAAGCGAGTGGTTAGGGATGATGAGGCAGGCAGGTAGAGTTTTTAAGGCGATAAGGCAGGCAGGTAGAGTGTTAGGGGTGATGAGGCAGGCAAGCAGGTGAGCAGTTAGGAGCCAGCAGTCCCGGATTGTGAGAGGGATGTCCAACTGAACTGGCAGTCAGACATCCCCTGAGGGGTCCTGGATTGTGAGAGGGTGCAGGCCGGGCTGAGGGACACCCCCCTTCTGTGCACGTATTTTGTGCACCGGGCCTCTAGTATTAAGACAGATGTCGCCAACTCTAATCACCTGGATCATTCTGGCCTCCTCCCTTTTCTTCCCTATAAATCCTCTCTTCAAGAGTGAGAAGCCTGTATCCCACTAGCCACCATCCACTTCCTTATTCAGTTCCAGGATATATGCTGAGTAGTATCAGAATTGTTAATCTGTGCCCTGATGGGAACCCATATTATCTGCTAGAGTGCAGTTCGATTCCTTTGCCTTCAGTCATGCAGACTCCAGTCATTTCCAAAGCTACTTAGGCCAGCACCCTTCCCCTTCCTTCTTCAGTGAAGTTGCTCTAATATATATAAATAAAACAGCCTAAGCAACCATTATGACCGAACGACCAGCCAGTAGCTATGATGTGCACTGACCCAAACCTTGCTGCTGGGGCCCTGACAGCCCTGAATCTGGTTCACCCGTACCCTGGACCCAGACAGGAGGGAGGAGGGAGCCTGATTCCTTGCGGAATCGGCATTGGTTAGCTTGCTGCTGGGGCCAACCTCCCGTGGTCCCTCCTCCCCGCAGGCCAGCCTCCCCGATCAGCCCCGATCGCTGGCCAGGCCTAGGGACCCCACCCATGCACGAATTCATGAACTGGGCCTCTAGTACATGAATAATACAGATTCTCACATCATAGTTTGCCTTCCTTCCTAGACCTACCAATCTTATAAATGACTTCTGAAAATTTTGCACACATTAACATTCACTCTGTGCTGTAAAGTTCTATGGTGTTGTTTTTTTTTTTTAGCTCATGTAATATTTTTTATTAAAGTGTAACACACCTATCAAAGTACAAAACTCATTAATATATAGTTTAATGAATTCTTGCAGTGAACACATCCTTGAAACTAATACCCAGATAGATAAACAGGACATTAAGAGCCATCAGAAGCCCTCCCTTGTATCCCCTTCCAGTTGCTACTTCCCCCACCCTAGAGTTACTATTATCCTGGCTTCGAACATCACAGATTAGTTTTGCCTATTTCTAACATTATATAAATGGAATCATTCAGCATGTGCTCTTTTGTGTCTGGCTTATTTTGCTCAGCATTATTTAAAAAACATTTTAACTAAGATATTGACATACTATATTATATTTGTTTCAGATGTAGAACATAATGATTTGATTATTTGTGTACATTACAAATTGATTACCACTATAAGCCTAGTTAACGTCCATCACCACACATAGGTAC